CAGCGGCGCGGCAGGGGAGGGCGCGGGCCCCGGCGTGACGTCACGGGAGCACCCAGCCAATCGAATGCCCGCACCCACCTCTTAAAGGTGCAGGAAAACTGCCACTTATTTAGGCGGACAAAAAAAAAAAGGGGGAGGCCACGCCTCCCTGCCCCGCCCCTAGCCACCGCCCCCTCCCCTCCGGGCGACCCGGGAGCAGCCGGACGCCGGCTACAGGCTGCAGCCCTCGCGGGTACCTGGGTCCAGGGACGGCCACTGGGGCCCCGCCGCCGGGTCCGCCCCGGGCTCGGGGACCGGCGCTCGGCCTGGCTGCGGGCGGGGAGGGCCCTCCACGTGGTGGGTGGGGGTAGGGCTCCTCCTTCGCTTTCTTCTGCGGGGCCCGGAACTGAGCGCTCAAAGCACCTTTCTGATTGTGCGGGGTGTCGTGGCTGCTGTCACCTTACTTTTAATTAATGCAAAGACCGGGTCCTAGAATACCTAAGGGGTTTTCCTAGCGTGCGAAGCAGACCCGGGGCCTCCTCCCTGTGCGGGGCCAGCCGGAGCCCAGCTGTCTGCTCCGGACCCCGCCGCCGCGTGCAGTCCAAAGGCTGTGGCTGTTGCTGTGCAGTCTGGCCAGCACACCAGCTCCTAGATAATTCCAAAGGGAAAATTCTGAGCCAGTTTTCTACTCTGTCAAAAGGGGGACGATTTCTGTAGCTCAGCACACGCGCAAGGCCCTGGGTTCAATCCCCAGCGAGGGAGGTGGGGATCTTAACCCCAATGAACTGCAGAAGCAATGCAATGTCAACGCCTGGGAATTCCTAAAATACGACGTATAGTGGAACACTGCATATTTAGTGTTCTGAATGTGAGCCAGGTGTTGTTGAGATAGCTAGGCTGGCTCTCAATTTCACAGAGTTAACAAACATACCAGGAATGGAAAGTTTAGAAAAAGAACCAGTCTTCGAGGCTATACATACAGGAAGAGTGCGAGAAGACAGTGTAGTCAGCAGAGATACCCAGAAAATGGAACAAAAAAAGATCATTAAAATCCAACCATGGGGGGGTGACACACGCTTGTAATCAGCACTGAGGAGGCTGAGGCAGGAGGATCACCATGAGTTCTACGCCAGCCTGGGCTACATAAAGTTGAAGACCAGCCTGAACTGCATAACAGGGCCCTGTGTCCATGTCCCCAGGCCCCTAAAACGTACAGACCCCAGTTAGGAATGTTCCCAGAGGACAAGGGGCAGGTGGCCAGGGCCACAGCATGTGTAGTCACTAAAGGAACCTATAGTTAGCTTTACTCTAGGAGCACAGTGAAAGTCACACTCCAAGGAGGAAGTTTGCGATGGTAAGGAGATGTATGTGGCATGAACAGGCTGTTAGGGAAGAGGGTCAAAGGGACTGGTGGCGCCTGCCTGTAATCCCGGCACTCTGGGGGACTGAGGCAGGATGGAAAGTTTGAGCCTGGCCAGGACAATTAGCAAGACCCTCAGAATTTTAAGAGAGAGAGAGAGAGAGAGAAACCAGGTATGGTGGTGCACATCTGTAACCCCAGCACTCGGGAGGCTGAGGCAGGAGGATCTTTGTGAGTTTGAGACCAGCCTGGGCTACAAAGTGAGCTCAAGGCCAGCCTGAACTGCATAGCGAGACCCTGTCTCAAAAAGAGAGAGAGAGAGAAAGAAAGAAAAAAAGAAAGAAAGAAAGAAAGAGAAAAAGTTTGTTTTAAAGGGCTGAGGTTGTTGCTCAGTATAGAGGCCCTGATTCAATCCTCAGTGCCGCAAAAAAACAGCATTGTCTCTGCCTCCCGCCACCCCTTATGGGCCATCGCTCCCCTTGTGGTCACCTCTTGAAATATTTTTGTTACTTTGACTATTGATCTCTTTCTGAAAATAGGTATATTCTACAATCATCCATTTCAGACATCTTTTGACTCGTTAGATTTTACTTTTTTTGGCAGAGGGGAGCTCAAGCTGGCCTCAAAGTCATGGCGACGCTCCCACCTCAGCCTCCTGCACCAGCCACCACTCCTGGCTCGCTCCTTCCTTCCTTCCTTCCTTCCTTCCATACTTCCTTCCTTCCTTCCTTCCTTCCTTCGGCTATGGCACAGTGTAGTGGCCAGCGGCCCTTTCCAGACTCTTGCTGTCCGGTTCAAAGAACTGGACGGAACAGCTGATGAAGATGGAAATGCAACATTTATTTAAGGTTAATAAGAAAGAAAGAGAGAGCGCGCGCTGAAAAAGTGCTCTAAAGACACACCCTGCATGCAGGACGGGCCACTGCAAGAACAAGAGGGCAGCGCGACCAAGTCAATGGCGTCTTTCTTCTATTGACATCAGATCTGGGCGTGGGAAGCTGGGAAGCTGTTCTGCGCTTGCATCTCAGCTGTGATTTGACAGCTCTCTGTGATTGACAGGTCACTCCCTGTTGTCCACGCCCTAGTTCCCTCCCTCCCTTTCTCCCTCCCTCCCTTCCGCCCTCCCGCTAAGGATTTGAACCTGAGGCTCTCGCATGCTATCTAGGCATCAACTCTACCCCTGAGCTCCGCCCTCAGCTCCTTCTTTTTATTTTTTCTGCTCTCTCTGGAACTTCCGTTCGACATTGAACTTGCTTCCCCAACTCTATCTCTCCTTGTTGTTTTCTTTTTTAGTGCTGGGCGCAAACTCTATTTCCATTCTAGCCACACCATGATGCCTTTGGAAGGGCTCTGTTACAGGCGTCCCCTCCCCTCCGAACGCTGAGCCATGGAAACCCAAGTCCTTTATGTAAAAGGACAGTATTTGCGGAGAACCTACGCACACAGCCTGTCATAGTCATATTCCCAGATGACTCATAATACCTAATACAATGCAAACGTGTAAATAGTTTTTACACCCCCCCCCCCCGCCCAATGTCTGTAGCGTTCACTACAGATGCGGGGTCTTTCCCAAATATTTTCCGTCCGAGGTTGGTTGAATCCTAGAGGGCAAACCCCACAGATGCACGCCTGCTCCAGGCCAGCCTCCGCTAGGTGGGGAGCTGAAGGCCAGTCTGAGTTGTAGAGCAAGACCCTGTCTCAAAACAAAACAAAACAGAACTTTCTTAGAGGTTTCTCTTATTTTCTGATCTTCCTCTCTCCTTCCCTTTCTGAGGGAGCGTTATCTGCTCTGGTTTCATGGATACAATATCATCTCTTATCTCTCCCAGAACCTCTTGGGTTCATTAGAGCTGATCTTTGCTGCCTGCCTTGTGCATGGTTTTGTTCTTGTTTCCCTCGCTCTCGGGTCTGTTTTGAACCCGTCACCGTGGAAGCTCTGCAGAAACCTGGAAAGAAGCCACCAGGACATGGGCCAGGAGGGTGGTTCCAGCTCAGGAGAGGCAACAGGGCAAAACTGGGTCTCAGTAAATAAAACTATAAGCCAGGCTGTTCTGGTTTGTGTCTGGTTGTCCCCCCACCTCAAAGCCTCATACAGTCTTCAGGGGAGCAAGCTTCTCATAGGTGGCTGAATCTAGAGTTTGTTGATTCATGGTCCAACGCAGGGATTGTGGGTGTGAGTGTTACGCCTGCCCTAGGGCAGGTAGCCTGCATGCAATGTAAGGGACAGAAGGAGTCTTGTCTCTCTGTCTTTATGTTTGTTTGTTCTTGATGCCAGGAATAGAACTCAGAACCTTGCGCTTGCCAGGCAGGTCTGTGCTGCTGAGCTATATCAGGCCCCTTGTCACTCTCTCTTTTGCTCTTGCCACTTTTTGGTATCTTCTGCCACCATGAACAGTTGCTCTTCTGCCATGCTGCCCTGCCTTAAAGCCAGCCAATTATGGGCTGAAACCTCTGCACACTGAGCTAAATAAACCTTTCCTCCTTTAACCTTGGGTCTTGGGTATTTTGTCTCAGAAACGAGAGAAAAGTAACTAAGACAGGTATAGGGGCATATGCCTATAATCATAGTACTGGGGAAGCTGAGGCAGGAGGATCTTGAGTGTGAGGCCAGCCTGGATTACACGGAGAGACCCTGTCTCAAAATACATGCATAAATAAGTAAATGCAATCATTCAATAAGTGGCCTTGAGTCTGGCTTCTTTCACTTAGGATAATAGATCCCTGTTAGTGTTTCCTTGTTGCATGCCTCTGAGGTTTATTACTTTTTATTGTTATATAGTATTTCTCCTGCTTTTTGTTTTGTGGTGATAGTGGTACTGGGAATTGAATCCAGGACCTTTGCACTGAGCTATATCCCCAGCCATTTTTATTTTTTATTTTTTAAATTTTGGGACAAAGTCCTGCTAAGTTGCTTAGGCTGGCCTTGAACTCATGATTCTCTTACTTCAGCCTCCCAAGTGCTGAGATTTTAGGCGTGCACCACCATGCCCAGTAGCTAAGTAGCATTTCATTTCATGAATGTACTGTAGTTTGTTTTTCTTGTCGCCAGTGGAAAGGCCTTTCAGTTTTTTTCAGGTTGGAGTGATTATGAATGAGGCTACTGTAAACATCCACATCCAGGTTTCTGTACAGTCTTATTACTTGGGAGTAGACAGCTAGGTCATGGTGTAATCTTATGTTTAACTTTATAGGCAATCCACCTAACTTTTTTGTTTTAAGAGACAGGACCTGTAGTCAGGTGGTAGCATGTGCCTGTAATCCCAGC